TGACCTCAAGTGATCCGCCTGTCTCAGCCTCCCAAAGTGCTGGGATTACAGGCATGAGCCACTGCACCCAGCCTCCTCTAGGTTCTTTGTGCTGTTTTTAAGATGGAGATAACAACGCCTAGTTCAACAAGATAACTGTGGTGATTAAATGAGAAAGGAAGCTCGGTACAGTGGCTCACGCCTGTAATTCCAACATTTTGAGAGGCCGAGGGAGATGGAAGGATCACTTGAGCACAGAAGTTTGAGACCAGACTGGGAAACTGCGAGACCTGGTCTCTACAATAAATACAAAATAATTAGCCAGGCATGGTGGTGGGCACCTCTAGTCCCAGCTACTCAGGGGGCTGAGGTGGGAAGATCACCTAAGCCGAATTTGAGGCTATAGTAAGCTATAATTATGCCATTGCACTCCAGCCTAGGTGACAGAGTGAGACCTTCAAAGAAAAGGAAAGAGAAAGAGAAAATAAAGAAAAACGATTTAGCACTGAAATAAAGAGTAGTTCCATGGAACACACTCTGCTCAATTTCTGACCTTCCTCTGAGGCGTGGGGGAAACACTGGCTGTTGGACTTGTTTTGGGGGTCACTTTTCTGGGCCTCCTTGGCTTTCTCTATAAAGGGTCGAGAGGCTCTTGAGCTAAGAATAGATGTCAGCCTTGTGCCAGCCAGGGCTCTCAGCTCTGCAGGACAAGGGGAAGAGGAGGCGGGGAGAATCAGAAGGAAACAGGCTGACCAGCAGGCTGGAGAGAAGGAGCCCACTCATTTGTGTCTCTTCTTGGCTACAGGGAGTTCCTGGAAACAACGGTTTGCCAGGGCAGCCTGGGCTAACTGCGGAACTGGTGGGTACCGGCTAGGACTCCCTGTCCTTGCCCCTTCCCGGCCCTTTCCAGGGCTGATCAGGCTATGAAGCTGGCCCAGTAGCTGCAGTGGGGGTCCCTCTTTTCTCCCCTTGGTGAGGCTGGAAGGTGCATGAGATGTCCCGAAGCTCCACCTGATCCCATAAGTCTGCCTGTCCCTTCCCCTCACCTGCTTGAGCTCACACATCTGTCTCTTGCAGGGATCCTTACCAATTGAACAGCACCTCCTTAAGGTAAGAGGGTACCCAGGAGGGAAGTGTGAGCTGGCGGGGGTGTCTCCTGAGGGGATTCTCTTAGTAAGTGCTCAGCTGTGTGGCATCTCGCAGAGAGAGCAGCAGTTTGCAGGGAATACACATTCCAGACATCTGTCTAAGAGGGCCTAGCTGGTGCCGGGCTTGTAACAGGCCCCCGGGTGACATTTGCTGAATGAGTGCTTAAAGGAATCCTGTGAAGGTGCCCACATGGCAGATGCTGTCGGCAGAACCCAGCCCCGAAAGCTGCCCGCAGCAGCTGGCAAGGAGACCGTGTAGCACCCGAGTCGCACCACTGCCAAGCCCAGCAGCTTCCAAAGCAAAGCAGAGAGGGTGAAAGTGCAGTGGTAGGGCTGTGAGATTGGGTGTGGCCTGAAAAAGGCTTCAGTCGTTCTCTAGTCAATCCAGAAACAATCCAGGGAGGATATGGATTTGAGAAGCACTTCTGGTAGTCCAAGAAAGGGGACTTGGGACCTGGTCAGAGAGTCACTAGCCTGTGCCAGCACCTGTACACAGCCTTCACACCCCACCAGAGGGCTGTGACCTGGTCTGGCTTCCCCAACTGAGCAGAAGTTCCTATTGGGAACCAAGGGTGGCACAGCCCATCTTTGCTTAGACACCTCTAGAAACGAGAGCACAGGAATTCCTCAGGTCACCCGTAGGCTTTTGAAGGAGGCCCTTATGCTCCCGGACCTTCCTCCAGCTCAGCATCCTCAGATGCGTTGGCCTTCAGAGCCTCCCTCATCCTAGCCACCCTCTCCTGACACTGGCTAGTCAGTGCCCTGGACATCCCGTGACCCCGATGGGCCTTGGTCAGGGCAGAGCATGGGGACTCTCTACCCCTCCCCTGCTCTGAATGGCAGATTCTCCAGAAGCAGCCAGAGGAGGTTTGGGTAATCACTTGGCATCAGTTACATGTTGGATCACAGTCGGGTTGTGGCAACAAAACCCCCAGCTCTTCTCCCCTCTGCTTCTGTCAATGCCTGGGCAGCGATGGTGTGACTCCAAATCCAGGAGTTAACATTTCTGCCTGCAACGTGTCATCTGCTGGCTTCCTCATCAAGTGCTCTGCAGAGGGCCCCAAAGAGAAACTGCACATAGTGTGGAGAAGGGGTCAGATGGCACCCTGGTGCCTGCTGACCTGGAGCCCAGGCACCATCTGCACCCACAGTCCAGGAACCCTGGGGATAGAGCGCTGTCTCTGGCCTAGGACAGGCCCCCGCCACTCCAGGGTCCCACTTAACCAAGTCATGCCGCCTCTCCTGAGTGTCGGCTTTCCCATCTCCACGATGTTTGTAAGATTCCCTGCCTCAGCGCACCATCAGGATGGGCTGTGATATGTGCAGCGTTTATTATGTACAACGCCCAACATCGTGGGTGCTGAGGAAATGACAGCCGTTATCACTGGGCTTGGCAGTGAGCAGTGAAGGTGAGGAGGGGCTCCTGCCTGGGCATCTGTGGACAACACACTGGCCACAAACAGCCTCCAGGCTCCTGAGTCCTCAGAAACTGCAAGCTTGTTTTCACTAGTGGGTTTGATTTTTCTGGGAAAAGGACCCATGGCTTCCATCAAACTCTCAAAGGGGTCTGCAACCCAAAGAAGGTTAAACCCTTTCCTGCGGGGAGACCATCCTGGTGGCGTGAGCTGAGCTGGAGCCTGTGAGCAATCCAAGCTCCATCCCAGGCGGCTCCTGGGAAGGGCCTGGCTCCTCCCGCAGCTGTGCCTTTGCTCCCTTGGGCAGAGGAGCTGGCATTCGAAGCCAGCCTTTCCAGCTCGCTCCTCGTGGCTTGTCCTCACAGTGGGTGCAGGTTGCAGGAACAGCCGGGACAGATGGTCCCTCTGCGGGCCCCTCGCCTCCGCCCACACGCCTGTCTGGAAAGTGGCTTTGGCTTAGCTCTAGCTGAGCTTCTTCCTGGAGGAAACTCAAAGCCAATTGTTGGGAGTGGGTCCCCCGAGGATGGAGCAAAGCAGCCGCAGGGATGCGGCTGGGGAGGGAGGGAGGGTGGGATGAGGGAAGCCTGTGGGGCAGGGAGCCTGGCTCTGGGTTCTCAGTGGGGCTCCCCAGTCAGCCTATCCTGGCCTCCCTGACCCAGGCCTCACTCTTCTCCCCACTTCCTGCTCAGAGTATCTGCGGAGACTGTGTCCAGGGGCAGAGGGCCCACCCAGCATACCTCGTGGAGAAGGGAGAGAAGGGAGACCAGGGCATCCCCGGCGTGCCAGGCCTTGACAACTGCGCCCAGGTAGGGACGACTGGGCTAGGGGCCGCCCCATGCAGGAGGGCTCCCGGGCTGCCTCACCAACAGAGTGCCTCTCCTTGTACCTTGCAGTGCTTTTTGTCCCTGGAGCGCCCACGAGCCGAAGAGGCCCGGGTGAGTGCCTCGCCTTTTCTCCCCTGACCATGCCCCATGCCCCACAGGGACAGGCCCTGACTGCTCACTCTCACCATCTTTGTCCCTTTCCAGGGTGACAACAATGAGGGAGATCCTGGCTGTGTTGGGAGCCCTGGCCTGCCTGGTCCTCCGGGACTGCCAGGCCAGAGAGGAGAAGAGGTAAGACCAGGGATAGAGCCTCATCCTCAAGGGGGCTGGGACCCTGTCTGCCTTTGAGACCTTTCGGGGGCCTCCGAAGCCTCACGTGACTGATGCCTCTTACCGCTCTGGGCTCATCTGCTCTCCTGGCACATGGCTCCTCTGAGATACACAGGACCCAGGGCAGGACACACTCTTTCTCCCCAGCACCAAGTTGCATCCTCTTCCTGCACCACTCTTCTCCAGGGCTCATTCCTGCACTCCTTCAGCTCTGCTCAAATGTCCCTTTCTCAGAGAGACCTTCCCTGACCATCCTCTTTAAATTGAACCCCACACCAACCCCAGAGCCTCCAGTCACCCTGGCCTGCATTATACTCACCACTATTCAACCTCCTGCATAGTTACTTCATTCAGGAACATTCCGCAGGTGTCAACTCAACACCAACTATGTGCCAGTCCTGTTCTATTTTTAGTGTCCATCTCCCCTGAAATGTAAGTGCTTTGAGGCAGGGGTTTTTATTTATTTTGTTTATGCTGTGATCTCAGCCCCTGGACTAGTGCCTGGTACATAATAGTTGCTCAATAAATGTTCATAGGATGACTGAATGAACCAAATGAAAGACTGTTCTAACATTAGCTAAGTGGTCCTGCTTGGACAACAGCCTCCTTCTGTTGACCTTGGCCCTGGCAAGTTGGGAGGAAGCTGCTGGGACCCCAGGGGCTCTATGGGGCTTGGGCCTCCTCATCTATTTCCCTTGGCTTCCTTTGCAGGGTCCGCCTGGCATGAGGGGTTCCCCGGGTCCTCCAGGACCTATTGTAAGTATCTGTGGTGCCCTGGCCTTCTTGAAAGGCTGTCAAAGGGGTCATGACGTTCAGACACCATTCGGCTGCCTTGTCCCCAAAAGGCTGGGCAAGGAAGGAGGAGGGGCCTTCCACTGCCCTCTCCTGTCCCTCCGAAGAGCATTTGCAGAGATTGTGCTCTCCCATCACCGAATGCCCTGGAAGCGCCCTGCTCTGCCCACTGCCTGCGGTCCTTCTTAGGGGAGGTCCTCAGAGGCACATCTTTGTTTCCGTGTCCCCATCCCCTGCTGTACTTTACATGGCGGCCCCAGGCCACCCTCAGCAGGGGACCTAGCTTCAGGCTCACAGCCTCCACAGCCAGGGAGGCATGCGGCATGCCGGCCAGACCTCTCCATGCTCCTATGACGCCAGTCCCCACAGGGCTCGGAGCTAAGATGGAACTGTCCTCCATTGCTCTGTGGGGCCATCGCTAGGGTAAATCTACAAAGACCAGACCAGGGCATCTATTCTGGAGTCCTCTGTGATGTTGACATGGCAGGCAAATAGAATTGACTAGGGAAGGCTGAAGGAACTGAAAAGGCTTTCTTTGGAGAAGAAAATGGCTGGTGGGAGCCGTCTTAGAGCCAGAGAGCCCCTCCCACTCGGGGCACAGATGGAGGCTGGATGGCAGGCATGGTGGGCAAGGCCAAAAGAAACGGCTTCCGCTGCAACCGAGTCTTCATTAGACTCCGGAAGGCTGGGGAAGCACTCTGGAGCCGGTCCGCAGCCCTGCCGATGGAGGAGCCGTTCTTCCTGGAGCCAAGGGGAGGAGCCGTTGTCTTTTGGGCCAAGACTTTCAAGGAGTCTCTTTTCTAGCCGCCTTGAAAATATTCCCATGACCTCCTCTCCCCGTGACCCCCAGGCCCCAGACTGTGCCCTCCAGGCTGCCCCAGGGTGACTGTGCCTGTGAGACGTGACCTGCCTGTTTCTCCCACCAGGGCCCCCCAGGTTTTCCTGGTGCTGTTGGCTCCCCCGGATTGCCTGTAAGAACCTAGCACTGCTCGACCTCCCCTTCCCCGGTCAGCCAGGTCTCTGTGGCTTTTGCTCCGCTCCCCTCCTGTCGTGACTTCACCTCCGTCCTCCGTGTTTGTTGTCCCCCTTCAGGCACGGTAGCTAACGACACAGGTTCTCTGAGGTCCCGGCAGCTTGGACATCCTCCCAGTCTCTGACTCCTTTCCAGTCCCTCCTCTCCCTCTTTTCTGCCTTCTTTCTCTCCTCTTGTCCTTCTTACCCCGTTCCATCTTCTTTCTCCATCTCTTCCACCATCCTGCAGCACTCCCCCAAGTCCTCCTGAGCTCGTGAACCTTCCTGTTGAGCTGGCGCCTCCAGGGGCCTCTCCATTCCTGCCTTCTCACTCTGCCTCCTGCTTCTCACCACCTTCGGTGTTGCCCGAAGATTTGCTGAAAGTAGTTCTTGGGGCCCTGCCAGGCACCTGGCTCAGAGCCCAGCAGAGATGCCAAAGCTTCAGAGCTTCACATTGCAGGCTGGCACAGGTTTGCTGCCCTGCTGCTTGGCAGGGCTGTCCAGAGGCACCCAAGGATTTAAAGGCAGCCCTGCCTGCGCCTTTCCATCGTGCTAGAGGAAACTCTCAGCTTCCTCCTCTTCCCTTCCTCTTCTTTGGCTCCAGTCCCAGTCTGCTCCAAGGCGGGGTGTGTGATACCAGCCAGTTGGGTTTCTGAGGGTCGTGCGCCCTGCCCCTGTGTCCGGCACCTTGGCCGGCTCCTTCTGCCAGGTGTCGTTAATTGCTCTGCCTTCGTCATCGTCACAGGTGTGTTTACATCACCCCCAGCTTCACTGTTGCTCCCTCCTGGGTCACGGAAACTAACCTCCTGTGTGTCAGGTTTCGTATTCCTGGGACCTGGCTCCTCTCCTCCCAGGCATGGTGATGGAGGCTCAGGGAGCAGGGCCCCTCGTTGTCACAGCTCCATCTGTCCCCACATCCTCATCTCTGGCCGGGCCTTGTCTGTTTCTGCTTGCTTGGGTGAAGGGGCCATCTGTCCGTCTAGCCATCTGTCTTGTGTCGTGGAAAGGCTTGGGCACCGTCTCTTGAGGGGACGAAGGGGAAGGGGGCAGGAAAGGTGACATTAATGGCGAGGCACCTGCAAAGGCCAGGGTAAAGAATTAGGGGTGGGGTTGTGACTCTTGTGGAAAGTGACATGCCCTCCCCCCCTGCAAAGTGACAGGGACTGCTCTGGAGGCAGCCCTCCTGCGTTTCTCCCCTGCATCCTTCCAAGAAGGTGATTTTTGGCTTGGGGTGGGGGACTTGGACAGGTAAGTGCTGGGTGTCTGATGATATCACACACTTTGGTGGCAGCATCCATCTGGGGTACCTTTCCTGACAGTTGCCCCTCAGAGTAAGCACACGTCTGATCTGTCACCCTCCTAAGGGTATACCCCAGTCAGTTACCACACAGAGCATACCAGCTGCAGGCACCTGAGAGGTACCCTCCTAGAACTACCCCCCGCCAGGGGGCATATCTCTACAGCTACCTGTTTTGAAGGGTGTCCTCCTGAAAGGCACCCATGTGTGGGGGTTCACACCTCCACCAGTCATCCTTCTGGAGAACACCCCTTACAGGTCACCTTGCCACAGACACTAGGAGAGCCACTATGGCCTCCACATTTGCCTGGAGTGGGAACAGATGGCTGTGGGCAGGGTGAAGGAGTCAGGGGCTGGGTGGGGACCACCCGCTCCTGCAGTTTCTCATGATTTTTCTCTCCAAGGGCCTTCAAGGAGAGCGAGGCCTCACGGGCCTGACCGGAGACAAGGGGGAGCCGGTAAGAGGAAGCTGGCAGGGGCTGGAAAGGGCTGGAAAGGGAGGAAGAGCTGGGGAGGCAGAGCCTGGGCTCCGAGGGGTGGTTGCTGGGTGGAAGCTGGGAGGTGGACTCCTTGAGATTCTCTGCTCCTCTTCGGGGATTCCCTTAGTGTGGGGTTTCCGCACTCCCCCAGGAGCAAAGGAGGCCAATTTCCATGTGCCCTGATTCCCTGCCAGAAGCACACACAGCCCCTGTCTTCCAGCAGTGTCCCTGGGGGCACTCAGCATCCCCGCCCACACCCTCCTCCCTGGTCCTCATGTGTGCTCTGGGCCCCCTGCTCTGGCTCAGCTCCCAGGGTCTGGGCCAGGCTGGGGGTCGCCTCCCCAGCTCAGGTCTGTAGCGATGGTCACCACCAAGGGGACCTGGGGCTTGGGGAGATGGCCCAGTGTAGCAGTGTTGGGGCAGGCCGGCGCCTGCTAGATGGCAGCCCCAGAGGTTTTGGCTTTGGCCACCCTCTTACCCAGGGAAGGGAGGACGGATATGCTGGGGGCTGTCCAGCCTGGCTGCCTTTCTTTGCAGGGTCCTCCAGGACAACCCGGTTACCCAGGTGCCATGGGTCCCCCAGGACTGCCTGTGAGTAAGAGGATCCTTGCTGGGGAGTGGGTGTGGGGTACCAGAGGCTTGGGCTGGTGTTAAGGACAGGGCCAGGCTGTGCACCCCTCGGTGGGCCCCCCGTTCCCGGGCACTTCAGCCTCTTCCTTGGCTGAAAGTCCATGCAGCCCCTCCCCACACTGCAGGCCCCCTTGGTCGTGTGGCTTGGACCCACACTACCAAGAACAGCAGTTCTTCTCTCAGGAGAAGAACTGAGATCTGCCTCCTGGGGCCGGGGTGCGGGGAGGCAGGGGAGCTGGTGGGGAGAACTGGAGAGATAGCCACCCCCACAGAAGCCACTGGGTGGGTGTATCCTCCTTTCCTCCCAGGGCTTGGGAGCCACGGTAGCAGGTGGGAGGCATGGCAGCCTTGGAGCACCCAGCGGTCTTCCCGGTGCCATCTCCCCAGAGCTGGTCTGGGTGCCAGCTGCAGTCTCCACTCCTTGCCTTGGCACCTTGACAGGCTAATTCTGTGGGCTAATTCTGCTCTCTCTTTGCCACTTGTCAGGGCATCAAGGGAGAGCGTGGCTACACCGGCTCAGCGGGAGAGAAAGGAGAGCCGGTGAGTCCCAGCAGCACAGGGGTGGGTGCAGGGCTGCACATGGAGCCACAGAGCCTGGGGCTGGAGACTTGGCAGCAGCCAATGAAGGTGCACTGTGACCCCTGCTGCCCCCGCTCCCAAACCAGCAGCACAGTCTGGGCCCCGAGGAGGTGGAGGCTGTGAGTAGAATCCCCCAAGGGCTGCCAAGGGGAGGGGCGGGGAGGCAGCCGCAGAAGCACTTCTCTGCCTCCTGCAAAGGAGGGTTGCACTGTGGCCCCAGCCCCCGCAGCGCCATCCTCCAGAGCCAAGGCCTGCCAGGCCCCATGCTGAGCACAGGAGTTGGGCTGTGACCAGATGGGGACACTGGGAACCCCAGAGTGGCAAAGCTGTGACTCACCTGCAGCTAGTGAGTTAGTGGTGACATCTGGACTTGAACCCACATCTATCTGGTGACACATCTCACAAACCTCAGATCTAGGATCAGCCAAACTGGGACTGCAGCCTTACAGATTCACCAGGTTCAGTGAGGCCTCAGTGGGATTCAGCAAACCCTATCAAGCATTTACTCAGTAACAGATATTTCTCAGGGGCCTGTGGGGTGCTGGGCTCGCCTCTGAGGGTGTCTGGGTGAATAGGGTAGGCAGTTGCCCTAGTGCCCTGCTGTGGGAGAGGCAGCTGCAAGATGAATAAGCAGGTGCACAGGAGCTGGGACTCATGGAAAAAGTGGGGCAGGGGAAGGGAAGGGGCTAGAGAGGTGTTTGAGCACCTTCAAGGCAGAGGGGCAGGAAGGCCTCTTGGAGGAGGTGGCATTTGAGCTGAGAGCTGATTAGCAAGAGGGAGGGATCCCCGAGGCTGTCTGTACTGGGGAATTCCAGAGGGAGAGGCCAGGTGGGGCACTGCAGGAACAGCTTCCAGCCATCGAGTGATTTGGCAAGGTTTCTTTCGGGACCTAGAAAGGGGGGAAAGGGGCATTCGAGGTAGAAGGGAGAGCATGCTAAGGGTGCAAAGGCCTGGGGACATAAGGGTATAGAGTGTGCCAGGGAATAGCAGTCTGACTGAGCAAGACGGAAGATGAGAAGGAGAGAGGGAGGAGAAATGGGAGAGGGTGGCTGGTGCAGATCACAGTCTGCCTCAAAGACCAGCATTGGTGGGAAGTGTGCGCCCCACTCAGAGGCAGAGGGAGCTGCTCAAGGTGTTTGAGTAAGGGAGTGACATAATCAGAGCTGTGCTAGAAGAGAAGAGGGCAGTCATTTGCTGGCTGGCTTGCAGTGAGCCAGGAGGTGGCAGGACAAGTTAGGAGGCTGGGTCAGTAGCTCAGGAGGGAGTGGGAAGCCTGAGCAAACCAGGCAGAGGGGCCTCCCCACATGTACCCACCTGTGTTCTGTGCAGTCCCCCATGGAATCCCCCCGCCCCGCCTCACCCTTCACCTCCCCTGTTCCTTTGTGTCTTAGGGTCCCCCAGGATCTGAAGGCCTCCCAGGCCCCCCAGGCCCAGCGGTGAGTGAAGGAGGGGCAGAGAGATGTGGACCCGGAGGCCTGGGGTCTGAGGGCAGGATTAGGTTTCAGCTGCACTGTTCTCTGTGAGTGACAGGGTCCCCGAGGAGAGAGAGGACCCCAAGGGAACTCCGGTGAGAAGGGCGACCAGGTGAGTGATGATTGGCTGCAGGGAGGCAGGGAAGGGGCTGGGTCCTCCTCCCTGGTGGTCACCGGCTCTAGTCTTCCGATCCTACCTGTCCTTGGGCTGTGACCTACCTCCTGCCCAGAGCCTCACTTGCCAGCCGTGGCGGGCAGAGGGGAGGGCCAAGCCCGTGAGTTTGAGGGTGCCCCCACCTGTCACTCTTTCCACCTGGGCAGCCAGGCAGGAGAGGGGGTGGCACAGAACACTGTCCCTTGCTTCTCATCCTAGGGATTTCAAGGCCAGCCAGGCTTTCCCGGCCCACCGGTGAGTGAAGAAGACACAAAGCCAGCTTTGTCTGATGTGGTCTCGTCAGGAGGGGCAGGCCTGACCAGGCCAGGCTCAGGGAGGATGGTCCTGGGGAGAAGAGGGGAGAGGCAGGGGAGAACTGCCTGGGTGGCCAGGCCTGATTCCAGGAACCAGGACCTGGAGAGCGCAGCCTCTTGGGTGGGCCTCAGCCTGGCAGGCCAAGCAGAAGTAATACTCCTGGGTGGTGCTTCTAGGAAGTCCAAATGAATCACTTTAACAACAATGCATCACGTGCAGAAGGAAGAAAGAAGGGGAGCTCCCCCTGTAGCCCCACTTTCATTCCTGCCTGCCCCTTTGTTGATACAGGGTCCCCCTGGATTCCCAGGCAAAGTTGGAGCACCTGGCCCACCCGGCCCCCAAGCAGAGAAGGTGAGCAGGACCCCCGGTTGGCCAAAGTCACAGATCTGAGCCATGCAGCTTCCATGCCCCTGTCCCACCCCTAGCATCAGGCTTTTGGGAAATCTCAAGACTGACCCAATTGCATGAACGCTGGGAAAAGAGGCCTTCAGGATGGGCCCAGTGACTACTGGAGGGTGACAGGGCTTGCAGCAGACCAGCAGGCTCCTCGGGGTGTCTGCTTGGCCCAGGATGCCTGCGGCCTCTGTGCAGCCCAGGTCCATGTCTGCTGGGATGGGGGAAAAGCAGGGAGGTAGGGGGAGGAGGCAGAACTCCACAGGCAGCTCAGGCCGCCTTCCTCTCCTAAGCGGGAGGGGGAGCGAGGAGCTGAGAGAAGGGGAAAGTGCATCCCAAAGGAGGACAACGTGGAAGGGGCACATGTTTCTCCTGGGTAGCCATGCTCCAGTTGTGCCCAAGGGCCCAGAGAGGGCAGGGGTGGCCTATGTCCTACCTAGTGACAAGGGTGCAGGGGGCAACAGTCAGGGGAGTCCTATGCTGGCTGCCCTTGAGTTTGGCTTGATCAATGTTGGAGACACAGCTCTGCCTTGGTTTGGGGCTGACATCCCTGTCTCGGTGCAACCTCTGCACTTCCTAGATGTGCTGGGTGGATGGTGTAAGAAGCCCCTGAGCTTGGGGTGGGGGGATCTGGGTCGAGAGGGACGAGCAGAAGCCTATAGCCTTGAGGAGAGCCTCTTTCCTCTGAGAGCACACACATGAATGTCTCACTGTGCAGGTGAGGAAACTGATGCCCACAGGCTTGGGGCAGCCC